AATAATAATAATAATAATAATAATGGTTGCCCCTCGTGTAACGAGGATGGTCGGTCCTAGGGCCACCTAGGCGCGAATTTGTTTAAAGTGTAGAAGCTGTCGCCAACACAACAACCACACCCTAAGTTAACGAGTTGCATGACTCAGTGTCAAGGAATAGTCCGAGAAGACCGGACAACTCACCAACTGCACTGGCTAACCATTACCCCGGAACACGATCCGAAAATCGATTAACATCCAGATACCCAATCACTGCTGGGTAGACAGAGGCAAATGGCGTAAAGAAACTTGCCCATAGTTTCACTCTGCCCGGGGATCGAACCCGGATCCGCTCGCTTGCGAGGCGAGCATGCTGACCATTACCTCGCATGTCACACACACACATACACAATATCTCCCAAGAAGTAAAATGACTCTAGTACGTCTCGGTATCGTTTTCACAGTTATTCTACAACAACAGTAACAGAGTCAGGCAACAAAAACACGTCTTCTATTACATATCGTCTTGTTTTCTGTAGGAATTCCATGATAAGTGATAAGTTCTTGGCAGCTCCCAGGTGTGGCGGCGGTGGTGGTGTGTGGACAATAGTGTGTTTTGTTTTAAGGTGAGGTAGAATGATTCTCTAAGGATATAACTGATAACCGGTGCACTCTTAAGTATACTGAACACGAAGAAAATATTCCCGTTAAAGAATACGTCCTCACTCAGACCCACAGGATGATGTTTACAGAGAAAAATATTTAAGATGAAAGAAGCAATTTTGTACAGAAGTGTGTAATGAAATGCTTCGTCTTCGTCTCTCATACAGTGGACGGGGGTGGCGGTCACAAAGCGGCGCCCTTCGTCACCGTCGCATCCTTCCTGCCGTGGTCGACGAAGGAACACCTTCCGCACACAACTGAAGATCCGAGTCCATCTCTACCCGGTCCTCTTAGTATATTTTAATTAAGATAAGGTGACGGAGCGTGAATGACGAAGCTGGTAGAGACAGCCGACGTCGGGGAGTGACTTGGCGTATCGTGGTATTAAGATAGGAGTCATATGAAGTAGGAGGAGTCAAGGGTGTTGTGTGAGGGGTCGTATTGTGTAAGGGGTCGTGTTGCGTGAGGGGTCATGTTGTGTGAGGGGTCATGTGTGAGGGGTCGTGTTGTGTGAGGGGTCATGTTGTGTGAGGGTCGTGTTGTGTGAGGGTCGTGTTGTGAGGGGTCATGTTGTGTGAGGGGTCGTGTGTGTGAGGGGTCATGTTGTGTGAGGGTGTGCTGTGTGAGGGGTCGTTGTGAGGGGTCGTGTTGTGTGAGGGGTCATGTTGTGTGAGGGGTCATGTTGTGTTAGGGTCGTGTTGTGTGAGGGGTCGTTGTGTAAGGGGTCATGTTGTGTGAGGGGTCGTGTGTGAGGGTCGTGTTGTGTGAGGGGTCGTGTTGTGTGAGGGGTCGTTTGTGTGTGAGGGGTCATGTTGTGTGAGGGGTCGTGTTGTGTGAGGGGTCATGTTGTGTGAGGGGTCGTTGTGTAAGGGGTGTTGTGTGAGGGGTCGTGATGTGTGAGGGGTCATGTGCGGGGTCGTGTTATGTGAGGGGTCGTGTTATGTGAGGGGTCGTGTATGTGAGGGGTCGTGTTATGTGTGTGAGTGGTCGTATTGTGTGAGGGGTCGTGTTATGAGGGGTCGTTATGTGAGGGGTCGTGTTATGTGAGGGTCGTGTGTGTGAGGGTCGTGTTATGTGAGGGGTCGTGTTATGTGAGGGGTCGTGTTGTGTGAGGGGTCGTGTTATGTGAGAGGCCAGACGAACCTTACATATATAATGGTGGTGCTGGATAAAAATTATCATCCCTGCATGGCTTGCCATATACCCTTATCACCGCCACCACCGTAATCACCACCACCACCACAATCACCACCAAAGCTTGACATTCACCTCCACCACAATCACTACCAATGCTGCTACACACCACAACCACAATCCCCTATCACGACCACCACAAACAGTACCAACCATACATCTCTACCACCACCACCACAACTACCAAAATCCTCCACCCACACCCCTACCAACACAGCCCTTCACCTGCGTAACCCCCCCCCACTCTCTCTCTCTCTCTCCCCACCTGCCTCTCACCTTCACCTGTAGTCCAAGAGTCATATATTGATTCTTTCCAATTGCCAATTGGATGTTCTCCGATAGCTGACTGTCTCTTCCAAAATGCACGAAATACCCTTCCAATGCTTCTGCTGACATTTAACCTTTGACCTGACCTCTCCTACTAAAAAAAATAGATAAAAAGAAAGAGTAAAAAAGAATAACAAGGTAGAGTGTCACAACTCGCTGCCCGTGTCATTTAAAAAGTGTTAAAAGTTCTTGAATTCAGAGTTGATTTTTGTTTGTAAATTGTCTGGTTTGTGTTGATCTTGAGTCATGTTCCGCCTTACATTTTGAACTGCACATTGGAAGCTTTTTTCTGGTACCCTTAGTGACATGACGGGTCATTCTTCCCTAAGAGAGAGTGGTGAGGTTTGATTCTACTGCTAAGAGGTAAGAGTGAGTGTGGACTTGTTCTCTCGTCACAGTGAGACACATAACAGTTCCCCCTACTATGATACATTACAGTTCCCTCCACTATGATACATAACAGTTCCCTCCACTATGATACATAACAGTTCCCTCTACTATGATACATAACAGTTCCCTCCACTATGATACATAACAGTTCCCTCCACTATGATACATAACAGTTCCCTCCACTATGATACATAACAGTTCCCTCCACTATGATACATAACAGTTCCCTCCACTATGATACATAACAGTTCCCTCTACTATGATACATAACAGTTCCCTCCTCCACTATGATACATAACAGTTCCCTCCACTATGATACATAACAGTTCCCTCCACTATGATACATAACAGTTCCCTCCACTATGATACATAACAGTTCCCTCCACTATGATACATAACAGTTCCCTCCACTATGATACATAACAGTTCCCTCCTCTATGATACATAACAGTTCCCTCAACAAAGACACACAATAGGCCCCTCCATTAAGACACGTAACAAAATATTCTCAACCACTATACCACAGTGAGATTTATAATAATTGTGTGTAAAACTTTTCTTCCTTTATCACAAATTACTTATAAATCGTCACAACTTTTTCTTTGGTTAGTCAATTGCAAGTCTTTTGTGGTTAGTGTCTTTACCGCGTCAGCCCCGGCCACACACTGTACTTAACGGTGTGGTGACAGGGAGAGTCGTGGTCAGGGAATTAATTCAGGAACATTGGTTTAGTTCAGGTGTTTAGGTCATGGTACAATTCATATAGGGGTACAGTGAAACCTCCGCATAACGGAATTTCTTATCTAAATAGTTCGTTAGATGGAGGCTTCACATCTAGCGGACCCTCGAGATAACGGACTTTCTTCTCCATATAGTCTGTTAAATGGAGGTTTCACTGTATTTCCAATGTATTTTTTTCTTAAAGCTACAATTTATTAGATAGTTTGAAAGTAAGTTAGCAAAATGATTAAATAAATTAAAATATAAAAACACTATGAAGAATTTTATACATTTGATTTTTATTGTTTACTTTCGGTAATTTTCGGGTTAAAAATAAACCTATGCGTCGCCCTAATAATAAACTTAGCTTCCAATTTCATGGTGAATAGAAATAATAGACAAAATGAATCGTGTTCCCTGGCATTTTCCTGTCAAAAGTAGGCGACTGTGACCTACATTTCACACCTCACTAACTTTCTGTAACCTCTTGTGTTTACGCTGCCAGTCTCCTCAGCCAGTTCCTCCGACCATCTGTTTAAAATTAGCGATAATGTTATTTCTTCTCCGTAATTATTCTCATTATTATTTACCTCCGTTTTTAACTAGTCAAGGTATAAAAACATCAATTACGCGAGTAATAAACTTATATTCAATAAAATAAAATAAATAAAATAAAATAAAGATCAGTTCTACTACAACTGTTGTATATAATATTAAATCTGGATCCTCGGTAATGAATCATCCATCAACAATGATATATTTTTCTCAATAAATTTCTTTTGCAAACTTGTAGGTTGATTTTATTGAAAAAATAATATTATTTCTATTAGCAGCCCAGAAGTTATGTTACAGCCTGGATGAGATGTCGACTGTCCTTCTCTCTCCTTCGGTCAGCTTTGCTCTGCCTCAAGGGAACGAGAGCATCGGCCCCAAAGCCGACAACAGTTGCATATATTGACTATGAGGCAACAGTCACTGAATGCCGCATAGATGTGCGGCTCAACTAACTCAACACAGTTAGGATAGCTACTTATGCATTAGGATACTTAATATTAAGGTAATAAAATGGTGGCGAAGGTGTGGCTCTTGGGGGAGGCTGGAGGCCATTTTAGAAAAAAAAAGTAGTAATAGTAGTGTTGTTATTATTAATATCACTACTAAACAGCTGGAAGATTGTGGAAACCCAGCACATTAACTTGTCGTGAAACTCGAACCAGCGATTGTTAGGACAGAAGGAAGAGGCTGTACCCACTTGACCACCACCCTACTGATTCATTACTTTTTCATGAAATTTGTGTTTCAAATACAAGATATATTGGTGTCACTAGACTGAGGAAATGGAAGGTGTCACCATTCAGCTGTCAGGGGATACATGCCTAAAGTTAACACTATGATTTTTTTTTACCTAAAACGTGGCTCTTATGCGTGGCTCTTATACATGGCTCTTTTATGAAATTGTCGAGGCTTTTTTTTTACCTGCAACTATGCAAAAGCATCACTACCCTCTGCCTATCTTGTTAATTTTTCTCTGGTTTCTGTGTAAATTGTCTACGACTTCCTCTTATCGTGCTTGGCACAGATGTTCTGGGAATTACTCGTTAATTTTTTATTTTAGATAAATTTCATCATAATTCGTTTCTGTGCTGTAATCGCCTTACTTGAAAATAACTAACATTTTGGATGGTAGCACCTTAGCCGTCTTTACTACTCGTTGAGAGTTGCCCTCGCTAATCATTTAATTCTCTGGAAGACAGTCTCGGGTTTCTCTGTGGAGGAGTTGGGTCAAAAGGAACGTGGTTGTCGGCGTGGGTAAAGTACATCATTGAGGTTCGAGGAGCCTTCCGCTGCTTCTCATCAGTGGGGATCACAACTTGGTGCATCTGTTAAGAAAACATGATTGACAATAATAGTAAGATTTAACGATATATTATGTCCAGTTCCTAGTTTAGTGAATTAACGATAGTAAATTATCAAAAAGTCGAAAAAGGTTAAACAGTCACATACTACTCGTGACGTGAAGGGAAATAATATCCTTTTGAAGTCTTATCTTGATCTCTTCTGCTGTACACAGTGGTGAGATCCAAGAGAAGACAGACACTCTTTCATTTGTTGCCCTCCTTTCATTCTTACTCCTGTAACAGATGTATTCTGCCATGGTGCTCTACGTCTACAATAAGACCCTAAACTAAAGCATCATACATCACCAGTTATCCTTCACCAAAAGCTGCTGTTGTCACACTCTTAGCTCATTCACGCTCACTAATGCTTCCTGGATGTCTGTGTTTTTATAAATATTCCCAACCCCCTCCATTATCTTCATCTCTCTGTCCTACCTCTGTCTCTGAATTATATGCTGGAAATTTTTTTATCAATCTTTCATTTTATATTCTCTTTACTTATTGTAACTCTCAGACCAACATTTGTTCACCTCTTCCCTTTCTGTTTACCCAACAACCTGTTCTCAAAAACGTCATTTCTCTTGCTTATAATTTACATTTTCTTTTGTCCGGAGTCTATATTTCGCCTCTCTACGGTAATGTTGGTCACCCTGTACTGCACATCCCTATAGTTGCGTCCACTGATTCAGTTCTCTATCCATTAATCTGTGATTGAGTTCGTTACACGGTAGTCCTGACATTACCATTTAGGCCTACAGTTATCTGAGACATGTTACTTTATCCCGTCATCATTAACACTAACGTTCACTTCTCACTGTCACGCTATTTAAATTCACTTTGATTTTATTTACTTAAACCATCAACATCGTCTCATTACTGTACACACTTTACCCAACTCCGCCATCAACACCTGCAGCTAACCTCTCCCCAGCACCTACAGCTAACCTCTCACCAACACCTACAGCTAACCTCTCACCAGCACCTACAGCTAACCTCTCACCAGCACCTACAGCTAGCCTCTCACCAGCACCTACAGATAACCTCTCACCAGCACCTACAGCTAACCTCTCACCAGCACCTACAGCTAACCTCTCACCAGCACCTACAGATAACCTCTCACCAGCACCTACAGCTAACCTCTCACCAGCACCTACAGATAACCTCTCACCAGCACCTACAGCTAACCTCTCACCAGCACCTACAGCTAACTCTCTCACCAGCACCTACAGCTAACCTCTCACCAACACCTACAGCTAACCTCTCACCAGCACCTACAGATAACCTCTCTCACCAACACCTACAGCTAACCTCTCACCAACACCTACAGCTAACCTCTCACCAGCACCTACAGCTAACCTCTCACCAGCACCTACAGCCCCTCTCACTAGCACTACAGCTAACCTCTCACTACACCTACAGCTAACCTCTCACCAACACTCCCTCACTAGCACCTACAGCTAACCTCTCACCAACACCTACAGCTAACCTCTCACCAACACCTACAGCTAACCTCTCACCAGCAGATAACCTCTCACCAGCACCTACAGCTAACCTCTCACTAGCACCTCCAGCTAACCTCTCACAGCACCTACAGCTAACCTCTCACCAACACCTACAGCTAACCTCTCACCAACACCTACAGCTAACCTCTCACCAACACCGACAGCTAACCTCTCACCAACACCTACAGCTAACCTCTCACCAACACCTACAGCTAACCTCTCACTAGCACCTACAGCTAACCTCTCACCAACACCTACAGCTAACCTCTCACCAGCACCTACAGCTAACCTCTCACCAACACCTACAGCTAACCTCTCACCAACACCTACAGCTAACCTCTCACCAGCACCTACAGCTAACCTCTCACCAACACCGACAGCTAACCTCTCACTAGCCCTACAGCTAACCTCTCATCTGCAGAGCTTCATCTGGAAACATCAGCTGATTCTCCTTCTCGTTACAGCGTGGTCCACCAACCCGCTCTTTATAACCAACCCATGGAAGTAATGAACAGCCGTGACAACAACAGACAACTTCTTCTTCATAATGAAAATGAATTAATCGTTCAGTGAAACCTCCATATTACAGACTTCTCTCTATATAATCTGTTAGATGGGGTTTTATATCCAATGGACCCTCGATATAACGGACTTTCATATCGTTAGTTGGAGGTTTCGCTCTAATGGACCCTTGATATAATGAAATTCAGGGAATTTCATTATATCAAGGGTCCATTAAATAAAGGGTTCGCTGTACAAAATGGTCCACACACACACACACACACACACACACACACACACACACACACACACACACACGTATATAAACAAAAGGAGAGATCAACTCACCGAGGCCAAGAACTTGTTCCCAGAGTAAAACTTGAGGAATTCTCCCGCTAACACTAAGATGGTGCCGGGGCGGGGAGGAGCATCAATCCAGGACCTTTCTGTACATGAAGGGACGGAAAGAGGAGGTTACTCACGTCACACGGGGAGGAGGTTACTCACGTCACACAGGGGAGGTTACTCACGTCACACGGGGGAGGTTACTCACGTCACACAGGGGAGGAGGTTACTCTCACACAGGGGAGGAGGTTACTCGTCACACAGGGGAGGAGGTTACTCACGTCACACGGGGGAGGAGGTTACTAGGGAGGTTACTTAGGTCACGGGGAGGAGGTTACTTTACTACACAGTCACACAGGGAGGGGGAGGAGGTTACTTTGGTCACACAGGGGGAGAGGTTACTCACGCCACACAGGGGAGGAGGTTACTCACGTCACACAGGGGGAGGAGGTTACTCACGTCACACAGGGGGGAGGTTACTTAGGTCACACAGGGGAGGAGGTTACTCTCGTCACACGGGGGGAGGAGGTTACTCACGTCACACAGGGGAGGTTACTCACATCACACAGGGGAGGAGGTTACTCACGTAACACAGGGGGAGGTTACTCGCGTCACACAGGGGAGGAGGTTACTCACACGGGGAGGAGATTACATGTCACACAGGGGAGGAGGTTACTCACGTCACACAGGGAGGTTACTCATGTCATACAGGGGAGGAGGTTACTCACGTCACACAGGGGTAGCAGGTTACTCACGTCACACTGGGGAGGAGGTTACTCGTCACACAGGGGAGGAGGTTACTCGTCACACAGGGGAGGTTACACGTCACACAGGGGAGGAGGTTAGTTACACACACAGGGGGAGGTTACTCACACAGGGGAGGAGGTTACTCACGTCACACAGGGGAGGAGGTTACTCACGTCACACAGGAGAGGTTACACAGGGAGGAGGTTACTCACGTAACACAGGGGAGGAGGTTACTCGCGTCACACAGGGGAGGAGGTTACTCGCGTCACACGGGGAGGAGGTATTTAGGCACACAGGGGAGGAGGTTACTCACGTCATACAGGGGAGGAGGTATTAGGTCACACAGGGGAGGAGGTTACTCACGTCATACAGGGGAGGAGGTTTCTCGTCACACAGGGGAGGAGGTCGTTACTCGTCACACAGGGGTTAGGGGAGGAGGTTACTCACGTCACACAGGGGAGGAGGTTACTCACGTCTCACGGGGGAGGAGGTTACTCACGTCACACAGGGGAGGAGGTTACTCGGTCACACAGGGGAGGAGGTTACTCACGTCACACAGGGGAGGAGGTATTTAGGTCACACAGGGGAGGAGGTTACTCACGTCATACAGGGGAGGAGGTTTAGGGTCACACAGAGGTTACTCACGTCACACAGGGGAGGAGGTTACTCACGTCTCACAGGGGAGAATTTAGGTCACACAGGGGAGAGGTTACTCACGTCACAGGGGAGAGGGTCACACAGGGAGGAGGTTACTCACGTCACACAGGGGGAGGAGGTTACTCACGTCACACAGGGGAGGAGGTTACTCACGTCACACAGGGGGAGTCACACAGGGGAGGTTACTCACGTCACACAGGGGAGGAGGTTACTCACGTCACAGGGGGAGGTTACTCACGTCCACAGGGGGAGGAGGTTACTCACGTCACACAGGGGGAGGAGGTTACTCACGTCACACAGGGGGAGGAGGTTACTCACGTCTCACAGGGGGAGGAGGTTACTCACGTCACACAGGGGGAGGAGGTTACTTAATGGGACACATGTGAAGGGTGTTACTATGGGATACATATAGGAGTCTCTCGTATCCCTAGGTTTTTTTTTTTCTTTACCCTCCGTACGGTCCTCTGACTACATTACTAAGTAGAATCATGAAACATGACGTATGATAATTACTAAAAAAAATAATGTATGACCATCACTGTCTGATCAATTTTCTGAAAATATGAAATTTACCTCATAATAAAATTACTGTGATTAGGTGTTCTGAAAATCCAGCAATCGTCAACACTACATAGGTTGGTGAGGCAGAGATCCATTCCGTACTGTAGAAGGACAACTGAGTCGCTCTGATAAACGTAAACTTACCTGGAGGTTGCCAACGGTATCCTGAAAGATGAAAGTTATAGTGGTGAAATCAAAATGGGCTGCAAATCGAGTGGTGCCTTCATCAGGGGTGGATGAGTCGGGGTTGTAGTGGATGAAACGCAGAATGCTCTCGTCGGTGCCTCTATACTTGTGCAGTGAAAGAAAGTAATCTTGGGCCTTGCCTGCCAACAAACAGCCTTAGTTGAACGAGGAATTTATGTCTTCATATTCTAGAGAAAGAAACACATGTTAAAAGAGCCTCTTCTAGACCACAAGTAAAATATTGTTAAAGATCCTCTAATACACTAGAGGTGGTAAGAGAATGGAGCCTTTTAGAGAACGAGGTTTTCTTCAGCATATCAGCAAGATACACTTTATCTCTTAACTAATGTTGTTTTCTCTTCATTTACTGTTCACTGAATATTCTTTTTGCCAAATGTTTACTTTATATCGGTCAATGTGAGCCCTCAGTGCTGTGCATTATTGCTTACAAGTAAATGGCTCAATATTACTGATCAATTACTTGTACCAGTAGTGGGCAACCTAAGACCCATCAGAGCTCTGAGTGCGGCCCATCAGATATTTTGTTGGTCGTTGTCTCCAAACAAAAAAATTTTACCTAATTTTGACTCCTGTAACCGAGTTCTTTAATATAATAAGATTCACACGTACAGTACAGTGGTCTTATTCATATTTCAGTATGTCAAACCTGCATGAACCACGCTCCTGACTGTGTTACTGCCAGAGGTTGGCAGGTAATTACTACTGGGCACAATATTGACCAAGTCCTTTGGTATTTCTGTTTGTCATTGTTTACATTTGGGGGAAATTGGGTGGCTAATAAAACTTAAGAAGTAAAACAAAACCACTTATACTACAACAACTAAAAATAAGTCATGTTTCTGAGACTGGGGGTACACTACACTGGCGGCAGTATCTTGGATAAATTCTCGCAAATATTTCTGCTCGGAAAAGTTTACCGACTTGCTCTCCTTTACTGATGGTTTATATCGCTGGGAAACTTATCTACCTAACCTAGAAGTTGAATTCTCACTCAACTGTGATTAAGTTCTTCATACCTAGGCCGAGGTATAAGGCGGCCATGATCCGAGTGGAGAAGCTCCTTGCAAGACTCGAGAAAGGCAGCCGCGGCGGGCTTAAAGGCTGGAAGCTCCAGCTCATCGGGCCCCTGTTTTGACATCCTTGCTATGAAACTTTCGTGTAGTTCATGAGCTGCATCATGCAGGGTAACAGTAGTACTGTACGGGTTCTGCCATATTCAGTGGACTGATATATGATGTAATTACTCATAATTAATGGGAGGGGACCATGAGTATGGTGTTTTATAGGGTGTTGGGAGCAGGAACTGAAACAGGATAGGCAAACTCTGGATTTCCAGATCTCGCCAAAAGATGATTGTTCCATTCCAGTGTGAGGCTGGTTTCTCTATCTTGGTTTCTATAAAGAGTAAGATCAGAAATCATGTCTATATTACAGATGAAGCCCATTGGGCTGTATCAGTCACCAAACCATGAACTGAAGCCTTGGTAACTCAAAAGCACCGCCAGTTGTCACAGTGAACTGCGGTTGGCCTCAGAAATGACTTTGCTGTTTCCGTTTTGCACTGAATTTATTAGATTTAATAAAAGGCATGACAAAGTTAGAGGTACTAATAGTTCTTGTTTTATTGACTTGTTTCATAAATATTTTACTCAAATATTAACAGCCAAAAGTTTTAGCTCTGATAGCGTTTTGTGTTGATATTTTAGCTTAAATAGGTAAATATAGATTGTCAAAGTCAGAATTTTGTTTCTACGTTTTCATGAATAAATTACCAAAATATTATTTGTCTTAAGTTTGGTGTAATACCATCATATTTGACATGAAATTTACTGAAGACTTAATTCTGGAAGTGGTGATCATGTGAGGTCACACTGGTCAGGGAGGTGGAGAATAAGCGACACGTGTTGGTAACCTCTTTATAGTTCTACGATAATCTGTACTCGTGTTATGTCGCTATTTTCTTTCTTAATTTCACCTGTATGTCAGATTCTTTGAGATCTTTCATGCTATAGTCAGCAACACCACGGTCACTCACCTGGTCATCAGGGGCACCATGGTTAGTCAGATGCACAGCCAAGATCACTGAAGGCGTCATGAAACTCTCGTGTCTCCCTTTGCCACTCCTTTTGGCTCGGCTCCATTCCCTGCCCCAGACCTGTTGGTGAGGAAGGTCTTTATGTGGCTGAGTCATGCTTCCCTAGGGTCCAGACATTGTACAGTACAGTACATCATATCTGGGACAGACTTCCCAAACATGAGGATGAAGAACAACTTTGATGTGACTGAGGCCTCAGTTCCTCCGCCCAAACTCTTCATTCCAACTTTACCAATGAATGCCTCAAATGTTGTATCACATACGGTATAAGCAGCAACAACACTAGCATTGACTGACTCACTGTACCAGCCAACCAGACGTTACGTAATGACTGTGGACTATTTTGTGTCTTAATGAAAAACAGTAGTTAATGTACCACGAGCGGAGGGAAACTGATAACTGCTGAACTTTTAAAATCAAACGACTTCCTTCGAGATCTTGGTTGTGAAGGCTGGTACATATTCTCAGAGCATCGTACTGTATAGGTTTAATTTACCGCTGACGACAAAAGAACGTGTTTGTTTCGTTTTCTATGAAACAAAGATTATAACGAAAATGTAACGTACTATATACGTTTTCTTGTCGTCAGTTATGATATGAAATTTTTAAAGAAAGTTTGAGAAAGTGAACGATGGACTGACTCACCCAGCCGACCAGGGTCGATCACTGGCACCTTCATGGTTGACGCCATTCTCCTTTACACTCAGTTTTCTGTGAATAAAATAATTAGAACAGTAAATGTTATCATTAATTCAAGCGTTGCAGGTAAACTTAACAGCTGAAGTACATAAAACAAACAACTAACAACACAATTGTGATTTTTAGATATCACAACGAATCTTGATCTAGTTGTCAACATCAACTATAGTCGTTCTACTAGACCCTAATCGTAATTCAACCCAACATGTTGACACACTAAAACACTTAAATATTTGACTATATATGATACAGTATAGTTTCCTGTGAAATTCCTGTAAATTGTCAAACTTGAAGCAGCGTCCGGCCCAGTGATATGTTTCAACTCTCAAAGGAGAAGACGATTGTCTGTTGGAGGGAGAAACTACAATATTGTGCAGCCAAAATTCTCTTAGGCGCCAAACATTAGACATCTGTAATTGACTCAACACTTCACACAAGCTCTATTTTTTTTTAATGTGGGATAGATAAATAGTTTTATAACACCATATTATATTACTTGAAAAATATTAGTAAATATGTGCTCATGTGACATGTTTTTCTATGCTGACTAGCGAGGTCATCTTAAAATTATATCTAGCGCTTGTGAGACTTCACCTGGATTACACAATTCAGTTCTGGTCACCTTATTACAGAATGGATATAGAATCATTGGAAAGAATCCAGAGGAGAATGATAAGACTAATCCCGGACATTAGTAACCTTGAATACAGACAGGTTAAAGCATCTTAATTTGCACTCCCTCGAGAGACGTAGAGTGAGGGGCGACATGATAGAGGTGTATAAATGGAAGTCAGGGTTAAACAAAGGGGACATTACAAAGGTACTCAAACTATCCAACCAGGAGCGAACTCGTAACAGTGGTTTTAAATTAGACAAATTTAGATTTCGGCGTGAAATAGGTAAACACTGGTTTGGAAACAGAGTAGTGAATGAATGGAACACGTTACCAAATATCATCATTAACTCGAATACGCTGGATAGCTTCAAACATAGGCTGGATGCTTATATGAGCAATAGGGGTTGGGTATAATCGGGACTGCCCAGTATGGGTCAATAGGCCCGCTGCAGTTTCCTCCATTCTTACGTTCTTTTGTCAGGATAGAGAAACATAATCTTTGTAACAGTACAGTATTTATAGAGAGATCATTCTTGCTTTAAGCGTTTTCGACTTATCATCTTGTGTCCGAGACCCAGCAAAGAAAATGTTAAATATTTTTATTGGTAACTGAACAAATTATATTACTAAAAAGGGAAAGGAAAATAAATACATAATGAAGGGGATAAGTAAAGTAATTCGGAACTGCGTAGACCGATACAGTATAATATTCATTTGGTAACAAAATAACACAAGTGTTGCTTTGACCGAGATAAATTTAAAATTTCCAAATATCATACTTAAGCTGAGCACAAAGTATCTGGAACAAAATTTACTTTGTATTGATGAACTTACGCACGTGTCTCCAACACGACTCAGAGGATCACTGTAGCAACAGAAAGAATAAGACCTTGATAACAGCTTCGCTCTGCTGTCTTAATGGTTATGAGTATTCTTATTTCTTGCGACGTATCCTTGGTTTTCGGTACTTAGTGAATGTGAAAGCTAATATACAGGTTGATCAGAAAAAAACGTTCACTTCTCGCGATTTAGGTATACAAAAACTCAGCGAGATAAATCCAACAAGCATAATCACCGTTGTGATGGTCAACTGGGCGTGCAAGGCAATGCACTAAAACACTTAAAATTTGTGACCCAAAAATGCCATTTTCCTCTGAAATTTCCTGTAAATTGTCAAAATTTAAGCAGTGTGTGCCCCAGTTATATGTTGCAACTCATTAAAGGAAAAAACGTAATGTCTGTTGGAGGGAGAAACTACAATATTATGCAGCCAAAATTTTACTTAGATGTTAAACGCAGAGCGTTGACGGCCTCTCCCCCTTTCCCGAAAAAAAAATTGTATCACATTTAATAGGTGCAGAGTGTTGATAAATTAAAAAAAAGACATCAAGACTGTCAAGTCTTACGAGTGAACCATTACCAAAATCCTAGAGATTGATTGCGACTTTTAAAGATTATTACGAGTTTATTTAGTTTTACAGAATTTTACAGATATTACAGGTTTTTCCAGATTGATTATATTTACATAAATTGGGGATTTCGGCTAATTTCTAATATATAAAAGGCCTAGTACGGGCGCCCCTAGTCGGCATGGGGCCCTGGGAAACAGCCCTGCCCCCGTGCCCCACCCTGACTACGCCCTGATTAAACATTAGACTCAACACTGCACACAAGCTCTATTTTTATTTTAATTATGACACATACAGTACATAGTTTTATAACACAATATTTTATTACATAAAAGAAAAATTCGTCCAAAGTCTGCTTAAGAAAGTATTTCTTGTATATAACTTAATGTCAGTGTGTAAAATGTGGATAAATAGTATCAAGAAATATATGGGATAGATACAGGATGCGTCATGACGTAGGAATATTAGTACTGCTGCTGCTAATGAGTATTTTTCATTAAAAAAATTAAAATACAAAATACATAACGGATGAAGCTACACCAAGAGAAGATAGTGAGTTTCTATATTATTAACCACAGACGGTTGTACAATATTGTTCAACTTGACCTTGAAGTGTTCTGTCAGCCTCGGTCCCTCGGATTATTCGGATAGTTCAAGCACAATGTAATGTTCGTTATATTTATTAAGAAAAGTTTTCTTTTACTTCTGTAGATATTATAGTATTACTGATTAGTAACCAAACCTAAGCCTAAGCAAATAAGTTCCTACTGTTTTTATAGTAAGCATATGATGGTTTATCGGTTACTGTTTGCTGTTGCACTGTTTAGGCCTCTAATTATAGGTACAGTACATTGGAAATACCGTATACCTGCATTTAAACTCATTCAAGACCCGACCAACACTTGCTCAGGTACAGATACATGACCAGTACTTGCCAACAGTATGTAATATGGACGTAGCCGACCGTCCAAGCGGTTAACGGGTCGATCAGTAGCAGCGGTAAGAATATTTTAAGAACTTACTGCACGTGACAATTCGACTCAAGCACGACCAAGCAGAGCACTGACCTCTGATCGTTCTTATCATACAACCTTGGGCTTTGGTGCTACATAAATGTGAAAGCTAATGTACAGGTTGATTACTTTTTACTATACAGAAACGCCTGAGTACAATATTGCAAAAGTATTAGAATTTTCTGATAAAAAGAGGGGTCCAGTTCCCCCTAGATCCGCCCCTGACAGCGTTTGGTCTAGAAATCGCAACTACAGGTAATTCTCGCAATTCAAAATAAGACCACTATTGTATTATATTAAAAGTTAAAATAAACTGTATTATGTATTGGTGTGCTAAACAGTTGTCGTCCACTTAGTTATATCTTATACATAAAAAATAAAATATGTTCTATAGTACAACAGGTAATATGAATCAGTCGTTTAATTCCTTCACGTTGTCCACTTATTCGTATTTATCTTTTGATTCCCACAATGAAGATACAGAATCGACTGAAACTTTAAATTATATACACGGATAGTAAATTTATCCTCAAAATATAAAAAATAGTTTTAATTCGGGATATCCTGTTAGTTTAGTCTGTTTCTACGGTTCAAGACCAAACTTTCTTCCTTCTCGTCAGCCAAGAACGAGTCCACAAACAGGGGTACCTAGTGACAGCACTAGGATCCCGCTTCCTCTATCAAGGAATAAACAATTGAAATTGAATTGAGTCCACAAGCGTTTCTTCTAACGTTTATAACATAATACAAAGCAACAGTTGTAGGGGCTAACAGTTCATCGTCAAAGTCTTTAAAGGCTCTGGCCAATATTAAGAGATTGTGCTTGATTACGTGGCCATGAAGATGGGAATGGGCCTCCTTCGAGAAAAAAAATCGCTTCATAGTTCTTGGATATTGCTCCATCAACTCTGATACTTCGTCTGCAAGGTACAGTTGAGATGCCTATTATGATCAGTTTGTGCATGAAGAACATGAAGATCCTCGTATATTATATCCTACATAAACTTCTTTTGATGCCAAGTTCAGCTGAATGGATCTATTGAACAACTGTGTGTGTTGCAGCAACTTTGGGACATTTACCTCTGTTGTTGTTCCTTATCATCGTTCTAACAGCTCTAGCTAGTGTGTTACTTTTACAAACCCTTCGCCCAAAACACAGATCAGCACCGTTATAATGAGTTAGTGCTCGTGCTAAATTTAAACCACCTATTGTTTTACAAACCTTCTTCGTGATTTACTTCAAAGAAAAAATCATAAAAAATAGCCCTACAGATAGCAACCGTAACTTACCCACCCCCCGCCATACCCCCTTCCCAGAGTTTT